GTCGTAAGCCCGTCTAAGAATCGTCGAGGTAACGGAGCACCGTCCAGCTCGTGTTTGACGGTCATTGTCACGCTAGTTGGTAACCGCCCCAAGCCCTTGCGACGGTCAAGTTCCCTCATCCGTGCCGCGGGCGACCGGGCAGCATTGGGGTCGGACGGCCCGACCAACGCTCCTCTGCGGGGGTGCTTATGGCTCTTCGCGATAGGGAGAACTTGGTGGATGTTTGCCTTCTTTCCTTACTTCTCCCTAATCACTAATTCGTTGAAAGGTTCTCTCACAAAAGGTTCTGGTTCTGAGAAAGGTTCTGCGTAATTACGAAAATAACGTAAAAGACGATCGGTCGATTAAAAGTCAGAATAAAGAGCATGAAGCATAAATATAGCAGCCTGGACGGCTTTTATAAACAACGACCGTATGCTGTACGAACGGAGAAGCGGCAGCGCCATGCAAATGTAAAAATAGATCCCTACAACAACTGCTGCCGGGAGAAATTTTGTGGAGCGCGGTGCATTTGCCTACATGTAATGATGATACGCATTCGTTTCCCGTAACCATTACTGCATTTTCAGCATATACATAAGTCTGAACTTTGAGGCCTTTGGCTTCTTATAGTTTGGTCACAAATGTATAAAGTCAAATGGTTCAAATGGCAATTAATATTTCATGCTACATCTAAACATATTCAAAGCTGGTTATTATTATTTTTTGCTTTGTACACTTCCATGACATGATATCAACCTGACATAGCTTTTAAAACATTAAAAATGTGGCTGAGCCAAACAGATGCAGCAAGCAAGCAATACCGATCAAAAGAAACCTCAGGAAATATAATTCTCAGCATGAGCCAGATTCACACAGCCTACGCACTTTCACTCACTCGCACTCAACCATGCACACTTTTTACAGCTCACTACACATCTCACTGGCGGTACGGATTTGACGAGCTGAGCGCGGATGCTCGAGTGCATGTTTTGAATGTGTGTTTTTATACCTCCCCAATCGTTCGTTTTACGAATGCTTTAAGTATGTTTTTGACACTGAGCAATGAAGCCTCGGCTATCGTGGATGCTCTACGGGTGTTTAATACAATACAATAGGTACGCAGTGCACAGTAAACCCTCATTATGGATGGTCCACTGGTGACATCCCCTGAGGTTGTTATTTTGCTAGGCATTGATTTCTTGTTGCTTGTTACTACGCCAATTTCTATTATTGATGATCAATATATCAGTTGGCTGTATGGTAAGACCTGATAGTAGCGATTCAAAAGTAAGCACATTTACGTGATTTCTAAATTTCGACCTCGATGAACGTATGCTCAATCAGACCCCTGTAAACCTCTTGAGGTCAACAAAGCAGCTTATGGTTATGGTTTAGGTTAAATATCTATGTAATTAAAAAAAAAAAATGTCAAAGGTGATTTCGAATTGTTAAGTTTGACTTCGCGTATCATCTTTTTGCCATCCTTTTTGCGAACTGATCTCGATGTGAATCTTGACTAGGGGTCAACTTTAGGTCACAAGCCTAACAAACCAGGCAAATGATGGCTTTGCCAACCCTAACGGATAAAGGGTTCAACATAATGGTTTCGTATCCGGGGCCTCACGTTGCGACCAGCGTACCGAAGCTGCGATCGGTCGACATTGGCCTTTTAACGACGTAACAGCGAGGTAACATTTCAAAAGGTGCCCAATGTTCCGTCGTGACAAGCGTTATTGATCGCCACGGCAGGACCTGTCGTTTGCAGAGAGTCCAAGGCTACCGTCGAGACAGCATATGGACGCTGTGCAACGCGCAAACTGTCAACGCGCAACGCGAGTGCTGGACGGAGCTGTTGCGAAAGCCTGGACAGCTGCATCTCGAAAGTCACTAAGAACTTTCTGGACAGCATGACCCATTCGATGAACATTAAGAAAAAGGCATTTTTCTTAGCTAGTTTACTTGTTGGGAGGAGCTTAACCCAGATGAAACGGTAGACTCAGATAATGAACGATTTCCTTCCCATATCTCCGTAAGAATATCACCTCGACCTTCCGGCATTGCCCGATTCCAGAAGTGCTCAATCTAGGCTAAGGACAAGCGGCCCGCCCACTAATAGCTCGATTTGTGTATGGTTTGATTGTATGCGTGACGCCAATGATACTAAGCATTACGAAGTGAACTCTACGCCACTGCTTTAAATTCCTATCCAGGCAGGGACCGTAGGGTTGTCTTGACCTGATCGTGAATTCCCATGCTGATCGTGTCTTGAACTGAACGTGAATGCCCATGCCAAAACAAAAATCGTACAACCGGAGTCAGCAGATGCGAGAATCATACACCAAACCATTGTCATCAACCCTGTTCTTCAACAGTTTATAAATTGACCCGTGCTCCTGACCGAGCCGTCAGAAATCATGCTAGTAAATGCACAAAATCCCCAAATAGCCTATCAGGTCTGGCGACGTTTCTCCAGCCTGTGGTCGTCGGGTTTGTCAGGTCTGCTTCGTATCAGCGAGTTATGATTTGCCCTATTTGAGCCATGTTAGATGTGATAAAATTCCACATACGAATTCGACTACGCCACTGCGCCCCGAAACCTATTACATATTTACTGTGTCGTAAATCGTCACCCGTACGTCGTTTATAAGCTACACGTGGTAGTCGGGAATGAACACAATGTGTGATAGTTTTTTTTTTCGTTTCTGCATGAGTGGTTCTGGTCAAATGATACTTCGTTTGAACGATAGGACAAGGTGCATGGACAATGATTGTTTTTGTGTGTGGCGAGGCAGGGTACGAAAACATACTACATATTTGTGCATGACTTTTGTAGCATATTTCCAAGCACGAGCCGCCCTCTTATGATTGGCTGGTGCTGTCGTGAAGACTCAGTGATGCCGCGCACGATGGCATCTGCTTCAGTCTCGGATCACACCAAAAGCTCCTTCACGAAGACATGAAAGAAGCCCGTGTGTGAGGCTCCGCTACCAGTAGTTGGAGTGGTGCCCAGTTGCTAGCACCCGCGCGTGGTACCGTAATCCGCGCCCACTCCCAATATGTACAATGTACAGGGATTGTCGCTGTGATGACAGTTGACACACGTGAAGCGATGAAGCTCCTGTGTTTTAGGCTTCCATGCCAGCGTGACGGTGAAGGTAACTGATTGGGCGATTCAAATATACCCAGGGAATATTTGGGCCGTTGAAAAGGTTCCGTTTCGTTGTGTTTGAGCTTTTCAGACCTAGCAGGATTCGTATCCGCAGTATCTGATAAGCATTATCCGTATTGATGGTTTATGCCTCGTAATAGCTATCATTATCAGACTATGCATGCATCGTCCCCATACGTACTCGCGTTCGCTAAGTTGGGCCAATCGACAAGTGTGCCGATTATGCTGTTCAGTATTTGTAGTCATTCCGCATGTTAAAGCGTTTTGTCTGCGCTTTGGAAAATAATGAATGTGGTTATGTTCAAAAGATGCAAATAGTAGAAAGTAAGCTAGATCAAATGTTTTTACGCGATCTTAGGAGCAAAGACCATCTGATCATCCGTAAATAAAATCATTGCAAAAAGTTTGATTTCTAATAACTGTATCTTTTAAAAGGACAGCAAACGCGGGCGGTGTCCGGGGCTGGCCTCGACACACCGGCGCTGCTGGTGCCTAGGTGTTGCCGTACCCGTCTCCGTCTCGGTCCCCGTAACCTGGTGCTGTGCAGCGACAGGATCGAGGCGAAACAGATACCGGGGCCCTGTTTCACCGCCCGACGCTGCACGCGCTGCAGCGCGCTGGGAGCTGAGGCATATCCCTGACGTCACTCGAATGACGTTGCGTGCGATCCGTTAGCTTATGATAAATCGCGTTTCGAACAGAGACCTTGAAGAACCTAGTACCGATTGAACAGAAGTTTAAGTGCGAATACTGCTAGCGTGCGGATGATGCTGGCGCCGCGGTGCTAGCGTTTTGCAATGACGTCATAGCGCAGCGTCAGAGGGAAGTTTTTTGATATTGCCATGGAAACCCAACGCGCCGACGCGCGCAGCGCACTGCAGCGCTCCGCCGTGAAACAGAGACCGGGAGTCACCGTTTCGATTTCGCCGCAGATCAGCCGCACGCCATAGCGGCGACGATTCCGAGCCGCCTTTACGCATCATTGAAGACCGTCACGGTAAAGGACTAAGAGCTACGAATAGACTTATCGTGTGGTGATGCTTCGGGAGTGATACGTATTTCTGTTAATATAAAATCCCCGCCTAGAATAGTTAACAAATAACCGAAATAATTACCGAGCGATCGATCCTTAGTGCCGATCGTAACTAAGCTTTAAGCATGATAAGCATTGCTTCGCAGGGACTCATTTAAACATTATCCTGCGCTTCTAACCTTGTTCAAAAGGTGGAAAACATCTTGGCATTCCATTAGATCCAACTGACTATTTCATTACCTTCATGTGTAGTCAGCATTAATAAAATAGCCTGAGAGCTAGGATTGACAATGACCATGACACTAAATTATGCTTGTTAAATCCGGTAATCTGGATGAAACTTGTCAAACCTAGCATTATAGTTATTTAAAACTGCTAATGGAAGAAAAGGACAGGCAAAGTAATTTCAATAAGGCATTAAATGTTAGCTATGCTGAATGATGATGAAACCAATGTCAACAATTCAGATGTCAAGCAAAAATAGCATTGCAAGAAGGACAGGTCACAACAAGAGGGGATGGCACTTGATCACATCTTGTGAATATAAAATTTGCCTCAATTAACTGCCAAAAGAATTGAGAGAAGAAATTGGAGCATCAACTGTCAACATTTTGAAGCTTTAGTTTCTAAATGAGAAGTGAGTGACTAACATCATCTTAATCACTCTTTTCAAAGAGTTGATGCGAGAAGCATACTGGTAAATAAGTTAAAAAGTGCAATTGACCTTGTAGTGTGGATAACACCAGACAATTTCCTGAAACATTGGTCAGTAGGTACATAAACATAACAGTCGATGAAATAATAAATGACCTTTACCTAAATGCTATGAAAGCATCTCCTTGCTCGCCGCCCACAATGTGGACCCCTCCGTCCGGAATAGACAGCCCACGGAAGAACTGCCGAATGTCTGCAGAGTTTGCCGACCATGGCAGGTTCTGGAGCCGTATGATAACACTCATTGTTCTAGACAATTCAGTGACAACTGGCTGTCACCCTCGTGCGTTGATCTGCTGTGCAGCTCTCAGATGCCCTTCTTCTTGGCAGCTATTTCACATCACCCACTGAAAAGAAAAATATTGTTAAAATAAGCATTCCAGACAAGAACAATTACACAAATAATGAAAGTAGCATGACTAGTAAAAACCAAGGGATTTACAATGCTTCCTATCTCAAACATTAAACCACATCCGATTATAATATGCAGTATCCAGCCTCAGCTCATTGACAGACCCAGTCAGCAGTCTGCCATAGTAGATTGGATCATATTGTTTATTTATGCCTTCAGCCTTCGTGCACTTAAGACATCAACCAGTTTATAGCTTGGATAATAAAGGAAGTGTGTGTCAACCATGAAAACATATGTAGTTAAATAATATTATAAGTGGAGCTAAACAAAGCTCACAAATGCCTTTCTCATTGTTAAACCAGAAAGCCTTCAATGAAACAAGAATGAAACCTGAGTGATCGTAACAAAGAAAAGTCAAACAAAAAGAGAATAGTACTAAAACATACAAATATTGAAACGAATAGCTGGGAATATGCTTAAACAGGGTGAAATTATCATTACAAACAAAACTATCAGTCATTATCGTAAAACGCCCCAGAGCCGCAAGTGCGGCAGGCGGCGCAGGTAAAATGTACTACACTACCATCCTCCCCACGCACCTATCAAACTTAAACCCACGTTAAAATCAATTCATTTGATGTTTTCCTGTCGGAAGCAATCGTGAGCAAATACAGAATAAACACCAGCAGTCCACCCTACCGGAAAACAACACCGCGCGACGACCGCCACGACGCCGGAAAACAGCCAAAGATGGCGGAATAGAGAAGAAATAAAATTGATGATTTTGTCAGATATTTCAGAGCGTTGTTGTAAATGCCTATCAACTGAAGTTTGAAACATCGTAAATTATTTGCTCAGAAATTTGAATAAGCATTTGTATTCTAGTTTTGCAATATGGTAAAATATGCATTTTTACGAGATCATTATTTTATTTGATTTTAATAATCTATTGTTCCCTTGTTACATAATTGTGCGATCAAGGTGGTGAACTGTCGTTTATTTATTTTTGCATTTAATTTTGTATGAATTCACCGATGAGTGCAAAATAAGCTTCGTATTTGGCATAATATTTTGTCATCACTATTAAATTTTCACTGCATCGACCGCCATTTTGGGACGCCATTACGCCGTCGTTTCTCGGGAAGGTCGACAGGTAAGTCACGTTTCATGGAAAATACTACTTTTAATTGGTTCGTCGTATCACAGTTAGGATGCGTTTCACTGGATACTTGCCTGCAATGCGTAAAACCGACGCGAATCGGCAGGAACGTCCATATTCCCCGACAGAGGTCGCTCCCATCCCCTACGCTAGCGCCAGTAGTGAGAAAATCATGAAGGTGAGCCTGAACGCGTTGTCGAAGAGGGCGCCTGGAGTAAAATTAGATCGAATTGGAGACGGTACCCTACAGGAACCCATTTCAGCCCTAGCCTCACCTTGGTTTGGATGCTGTCCGGTCTCCGGATCCTCAATGTTTAGACGCCATCAACGGGGCAGGATAGTTGGCGTCTACGGCGATGGAATGCATTTTCATCGATGCAGTGGCCTGCTGAATACTCCACTATACTATCTAAAATTCAGATTTAAAGATGAATTAATTTCTTGGGAGTAAAAGGCACATCTTTTTCTGAAATGCGGAGATTTTATGATCCAGACTTCCAAACTTTCCAACACGAAGACTGAGACGGCAGGGGAATGGCAGAAACAAGTATGAGCCAATAGCAATTACCGGATACGGAGCTATAATCAATCTTACCGCCTACCCCGTTAAATTTTCCTGCACCGAGCGACAGGTTTACGGCACCATTTTTTTGTTGTTATTATTTTTGTGGCAATAAGCAAACCAAAAACAAACGGGAGGCCGCAGACTGAGCCGACTGACGAGCTTCTTTGGGGAAAGCATTTTATAACTTCAAAAGTTATCGATCATATGAACCCCACCACATCGGCTATCTAATGTCTTGTTCCTTTTTTTTGAGGCGGCAATTTTGCTACCATCTCAGTTCAATAAGCTGGGATACAATTTTTTAAGAGGAAACGGTCTCATTTGCGCGTGATTACGAGCGAGCGAGCGCAGCGAGCGAAGCGAAGTCTTTTCAATATAACGGAAAAATCTCAGTATGAGCGGCCCGGCCCGGCCCGGCCCGGCCCGGCCCGGCCCGGCCCGGCCCGGCCTGTAACGCTTTTGAGAGGCTTATATCTCAGCAACCGCTGGACCGAATGGCCTGCGGTCTTTTTTGCTGGGTAGCCCCATCCCTTCTACCCCGTAATTGACTACTTTTGATACATCTCAGTGACCGCCGTGGCACGTGCCACGTGAAAAGTCAAGGGTGTTCAAGCAGTTTTGCAAAAGTAATGATTTTGAGAGGCCCATATCTCAGCAGCGGCTTGAGCGATTGTCTTGCGGTCATTTTTATAGGGTAGCTGCATCCCTTCTACCAAAGGTCGGATACTCTTCATCTATGTGAGTGACCCCCACTGCACGTGCAAAATACAACAATAAGAGGTGCCAAATTTGTTCCCATTTCAGTAACTCGGTAATTACTGGGGCGATTTCGCTGAAACTTGGCATACAGGTAGGCACCCACCAGGCAATGCATTCCCATGTGTTGCGGTTAGGGTGCTACTGCACGTGCGCACGTGCAGGGGGCGTTTCCAGATCTCGAGAACGGCTGGGCCGATTGCGCTCAAATTTGGTACATGGTTGGGGACCGGTTAGTATGGTGCCGTGCAAAAGTCATTTTGGACCCCGTGTGCACGTGCGCACGTGCAGAATGCCGCTTCCAGATCTCAGGAACGGCTGTGCCGATTGCGTTCAAATTTGGTACACCGCTAGCGACCGGTTAGAAGGGTGCTTTGCACAAGCCCGTTGGAAGTACCCTCTCGCCCTTCTGCACGTGCAGGGCTCACTATCTCGCTCGCTCGTTCTTCGCCCAAAAGGCGTTTTACTGGTTTTAACTCAATTATAAGAGATGATTTTGTGATATAACGTCGTTTTGGCACGAGTTACCCCTGCGAGTTACCTACTGATGTATTTCGGGGGAGATGCTCGAAAATCATTACGAGGATCGATATGCTATGCTAAACTCTCAAGCATTTGACGTCTGACGAGCGTTCCTACAGAAAACGGTCAGCGTACCAAACTTGCCCCAATTCCTGCCCATTGATTTTATGTACGGTGTTATGCGGTGTTTTGGAACCAAAACGGCAATTATAATAATCTACCGATATTCCTTCGCTTTTTCAGACGGCCTGAAAATGGAAACCCAAGAAAACATGACGGACATCCAGAATTATCTGGATAATTTCCAGAAAGATCTTCAAACTAACACCAGCGACCCTGGTAAGACAGAGCTACATATGTAATAGGTATAATGGATGGTGGTTTTTGCGATGATCATTGAAAATATAATGGGGAAAAGCATTAACATGGCAGAATAAGGTTATCCTGTGTTTCGTTTTTTTATCTGCTAAAATAATACATTTGTGCCATGTTAATGATTAATTTCTTTCCCATTATAATAACATCAGTTTTTCAGTCAAGATATTGATGGAACGGAACTTACGTATGGTTGGTCCGGTAGGGTAAAGTTAAACGGCCGCCCTTCAGCTCATTTTACTGGCTATTCAGAATGAAGCTCGCTTTATATCGTAAATGAGTTGGAACTTTTCTTTAACGCGAGCAACTTATAAGCACTGACCCGTCTGATCGAGCATGTTTCTACCGAGACCGATGACGCTGACGGCCGTGCGTGGTGTAGCCGGCAGCGCGGGCGGCGAGGTGGGACAGGTGTACGTGGACCAGTCGGGACAGTACTTCATCCGAGAGGCCACCGAGGAGGATGGCGGCCTGCGACGATCCAAGGTAGGCTGCAGTCGCTGGTCGGGGCGCCGTCACAGGCCCGGTGAGCGCGGAAGTATTGGATCTGGAATTATGTGAAAGGAAATGTAGGCAGCTCGTACTGTCACGTCTTGGCTCAGGTTTTGCTTGGATGGTTACAGTTTGACTTTGATGTGTTGTTACGCACAGCCTTGCACCCAGCCAACAACTGGCCGTTTGACCTGGCTCTGCCTAGTGACACGGACCGGTTACCCTGACCAGAGAATCCCATCAGTGACGACCTGACCAGCGCCCCCCGACTCGTAAGTTACGAGTTGGACTACGAGTCGTAACGGATCGGTACCTGACCTTTGACCAGCCGAGACCAGTGGGTCCCGGCACCAATTACCCAGACGAGTCACTCGACCAAGTGAGTGGCCTCGACTGCTGTACCGATAACCGCAACCGGTGAATACTGCGGACCTGACCATTACCCTGACCACTAGACCAGACCAGCCGACCACTAGACCCCGACCCGACCACTGACCACTGACCAATGACCGCTGACCTGACCTGACCCTCGTGCTCCCCCGCAGCGGGTGCGGACGGCCACGGCGGTGACGGCGGACGCGGCGATGGTGCAGGCGGCCGGGGAGGCGGGTCAGACCGTGCAGCTGGCGGCCGGCGGCCAGGCGGTGGCAGCCGCCGCCGGCGGCGCCTATCAGACAGTCACGCTGGTCCCTTCCGACGGCAACTCGGACGAAGTCAGCTATGTGCTCATTGTGCAGGTCAGTATTATAGCCGGTACCTACAACAGACTCAGCCGGTGAAGTACTCATGTGAAAACTGCATGCCGGGAGCTGGATGGTCTTGAATGCTTTCTACGTCTATATTTTCTGCGGGGTTTCTCGATTTCTGGTTCACGAGTGTATGCCAATCAATGGGTCAATCAATCAGCTAGCCAATCCGAGTCAATGCTTCGGTCATGTTGAGTGTCATGCACCCGGACCCTTTGGCGGTGGGATCATCATCTCTGCTTACCGTTGATATTTTACCGAAATCATGTTTTGCCTATTGAGTCTAAGTTCAATGTCTGATAAGCTCTGGTAAGTACCTACCCACGCGTCCCGTAATTTCATGTGCTATCACCGCCATACGACACCGGACACCGTGGTGTCGACCACGGTATCCGACCGTGGTAACCGCTATGACACTGCTGAGACGGTGGCGGTCGGTGTCGAATTGCGAGCGCCGACTCCGGTGGGCTCTGGGGTGTGCGTCAGATGAGGGGGGGGGGGGAGGCTCAGCGGGGTGCTGAAGCGGCGAATCATCCTCGACTCTTGACTGCGATGGAAACGTTACGTTTAGGGAATGACTCTTAGGTTTGTCCTGATGGAGGTTATTGCGAAAAGTTCGGTAACACCAGCCAGCCATTATCAACTTTTTTAGGGAAGTGGGGACTTGGTATCATGGCAGTAAAGCTGCAGCTTGAATATTTCCTTTCACTTTATCTCGTTGGAAGTCTCGTTATCTCGTTGCATGAAATCTTCGTATGCAAAACAGCAGTTACCAGACGCAGTACCAGTCAAAATGGGAACAAAATCGTGAAAAATCGAAAAGGCAATGCATCTAACGCTCCATCATATTCACACGATCTCAATTATGCCTTACGAGGCTACGAACACTCAAACAGTGGTACTCACGTGGACGCGCGCGACTCCGTCCGGCGGCGGTAGCGCGGCGGTAGCGCGCTCAGCAGCAGTGCGGTATCGTGACCTTGACTGGTGACCTCTGGGTCAGCGACCGGCCGCCATCCGCCCCGGGCCGGCGCCGGTCGGGTCAGTGCTGTGAGGCTGGCTGGGCGATCCGCGCAGTGGGATTGTGGGTCGCTGTGACTGAGTTATATCGCACTTCAACTTGGTAGTGTCAAACCAAGAAAGTACGTCAAAATTTCACCATGAAATGAGTGCTGATAGTCTGTAGCCGAAGTTATTGATGGCGCATTTTATCGTGGGTGGTAGCGTTTGTTTCATTTCATTTGCGCCTTTCCTTGATAGGTTACCCACCCACATCTCTATTTCTTGTGTACCTACCCTATCGCTGACCTGATCTGACCTGACCTGGCAGCCGGACGCCGAGGAGGGCCAGAAGCAGGAGGGCGACGACCAGACGATCGGCGTGTACGACTTTGACGACGGGGACGAGCAGCCAGAGGAGGTAGGTGGGGCGGGGTAACGGTCGGACGGGTATGGCGCAGGATTCTGTGTTTTGTAATTGCAGGATTTTTGTGATATCATTTCATGGATTTTTTCTACAAACAATGTTAAAGGGACCCTCCCACCTTAACATTAGATTTGAGTTGAGATAGCCAAAATGGGGTCCCTGGCTCACAATTACCGGTTTCGGTACTCCCAACATCGAGAAATGCCTTAAATCGGAAATATTGAATTTCAAAATTGCAGCATTTTGATTCAGAGGGGCTAATGCATAGGAATACCCCTCTGAATGTGTGACGTCAGCGCAGATATCTAACGATTTTTAAATGTTTGACTAAAACGTTTTGTAGCACGCGGTGGTATATGCTGCTTTACGCGCAACAAATGCCGCACTTTCAAATGAAGTCGCTAGGAACAGCGGAGATCCCAAAAAGTAAACAAAAGTAAAAGTCTAATATCTTGAAAACCGGTGAATATTTTTCGATGAAATTTGGTAGATATTCGTTTTTGCTCTTTCTGAACCGAGCGACATCACTTTCATGCCAATTCATTAACTGTTTTGAAGGTGGGAGGGTCCCTTTAAGATACAATTTATATAAGGCTTCTTACGTAACGTCACGCCATTCATCCAGGCTTCACACCAA